AAAGTGAAAGTAGAATATTTTTAAGTTTGGGACCTTTGAAATCTTTGTCATCTAATGTGCTTCGAAATGAAATGTTTCAAAACACTAGGACTATTCTTTTTAATGACCAGACCAAGCAAATCTATCTCATTTGATTATTCACCGTCAAGCAACATCTCCAGGAACATCAAAATAAAGAAAGATAACTCTAATATATTGTTATGACAAAATTATAAACGTGATGATAATAAATTATCAAAATATTTGTTCTTTTCTTTGGTTTTAGTTATACCAAAGACATAAACAACATCACACCACTGTTTTGATCTCGCCCCTGGTATCAGCCCTCGGGTGGTCTCGGCCCGCGCCCTCCGGGCTTGGGCCGATACCAACCGCTCGGGCTGATACCAGGGCCGAGATCAAAACAGCAGTGTGATATTCTATATATTAGAGCTGAAATTGTTCGGTTTTCAAAACATTTTATTATGAAAATGAAAACAATATTTTTTTATATTCAGTCGATTCCACTACATTAAATTTTCTATGAAATATTAGGTTGAAACTCATGATTCCATTTTTTATTTCATTCTCATGATTTGATTGTGAAGACTCACTAACTACAACACAATTTTATATTTTTTCTTCCATCAGATCTGAAATGTATCTCTTGATGGAAACTGTTTTGATTTGACACTGACATGTCTTTATGTCAGTTTTTTAAGAAATGTAATGTGTACATGTGGTTAAATAACCCGAATTATTTATCAGGATATAAATAGCATTTATGATCCTGAAAAAAAATCTCAAACAAATTTGTTAGTTTGAATATGCTATTTCCTGATCATGACAATGAGCACACGGCGTGTGTGACCGGTCAACAGGGGATGCTCACTCCTCCATGGCACCTGATCCCACCTTTGTTGTTACGGGGGTCTGTGTTTGCTCTGCTCATTTTGTATTGTTTTATGGACTTTGAGATTGAATACTGTTCGTTATCTCCATATTTTTCATGCCACCTATTAAATTTCTATTTATACAGTACACGCTAAAAGATTTTTAATTCATGGTAATTTTAAACATTCTTATTCGCACCTATGGTTTAATGAATTGAAATCTGCAGTACGATAAACAGTTTGTAGTTAATTAATGCACTGGACAACAATTGTAATTATAGGTTGCAGATCATGCAGTATATATTAAAAGAAAAGCTGAATTTTCAAGATTTTTTTTAATTTAATGCATTGTGTCCAATACTTATCACTGAGTGTTAACTGTCTGTCATTGTGCCCAGTACTTATCACTGAGTTTTAACTATCTTTGTGTCCGGTACTTATCACTGAGTTTTAACTGACTGTCTTTGTGTCCAATACTGATCAATGAGTTTTAACTGACTGTCATCAACGGTTTATAAGGTTAACTTACTCACTTCATTCTACATATTTTTCCTTTGCATGGATTTGCATGGATGAGTTATCTTTCCTACAGTTGTGCTGATTAGGTATTGTTGAAGTGCTATGGAATAAAAACAATCCTGTATCAATTTAACATATGTATCTTAACCTAGCATATAACAAAATATTTGATTTCGATTGATTGATTGATTGCACATGGGTATTTATTTTTCGTCGAGTTTAGAATTGTTTCACTCTTAGGAAAAAGTCGCTATACACCAATAACGAGCTCTGGAAATTTGGACACAAACTCCGCACTCGAGGCAACTGAGGGTTTCTTTTAGTACCAAGCTTGCCAAAACACGGATTCTCGATATCTTAACGAAACTCTGAGTGCCTTGCGAAGAAACAGTTGCTAAATGTACCTATTTTTTATCCACGTAGGTCTGACGCGGTCGGGTCTCTAACACATGACATACCAATAACAGAGAGAGGGCTCACTAGACCAAGGGATTTTCTATAAACTCTTTACTGCAAATATATCAGGATCATTTTCTTAATTCACAATGTGCCAAAACTTAACCTGTGAACCAGACATTGAAAATTATAAGTATCTTTACTCCAAAAGTTTTTGCGTCATACTAGACCAGCTCATTTCTCTACCTTTGGTAGGAGAGCCCTGACTCTGGCTACAAAAGACCCGCTGAGGGAGTCTGGAAATTTGAGAACGCCCGTGATCAGGTTCCAGTTATTAGAAGGCACAACAGGAACAAATACCAGCTTTGTCAATTGTTTGTAGGAGATGACAATAAGAGTTGTACTCATTTGATCTGATTAAAATTATAGATGAAAAGTTACATAATAGAGGAAGTTGAAGGAAACCCCGATATATGAATATGAAAAAAATTTTAAGAAAAATTTTAAAAGAAAACTTTTACCGGATTTTGAAACATTACAGATTAAGTTTAGAAAACTGTGATTATGTTCAGAATGGCGGGATATGACAAAAATAATGTTACCCTGACCTGACAGAATCTAAAACAGGAGAGGTGAAACGATGTACAACAAGTTGATTTGGCAGGTTTCCACCCCTGTCAACGCGCGATCGGCAACGCGGATAGTTAAACTCGACTACATCAGGAAGATGAAGTTAAGTAAAACATTATTTTGTCCTACTTCCTCGCAATTTCCTTCAACATTTAAGGAATGACTCTAATTCTTGGCCAAATTATCGAGTATAATATGGTTTGGGTCAGTTTACGCTTTATAATCCGCGAAGCGGATTATAAAAAAGCGTAAACTGACCCAAACCATATTATACTCGATAATTTGGCCAAGAATTAGAGTCATTCCTTATTATTTAATTTTAAAATAATTAAACAACTGGGGATGTAAAATTGTGTTGTTTTTATGAGTTCAAATTTACCGCGCAATAATACAACCGTAGTAACGGAAGTGATGGGAAGCGAGGGGAGGTAAAAACTGATACATAGATCTAGCAGCCATGATGCTTGTTTACATGAGGTAAGATCGAGCAACTGTTTGAAATTAAATGTACATTCATTAAATCTGGAATTTTCCATGAATCCCAAGGACTGGAAATGAGGGGATTGATGGATACAGATGATTATGCTGGTTGTCAAGGGGGTGTGTCCCCATACCAAACCAGATTATACAAAATGTTATGCATTCCTTTTTGGAAATCAACCAATGAGAGGCAAGAATACAAGCAAAATTAAATTATTTCTGATTTTTTAAATGCTACTAGACATGTTCAACACCATAAAAGTCCCCTACGCATTAAAAATCACCATATATTATGTTAAAGTTCAGTTTTCTTTGAACATGACTGCCCTAACGTGACACATAAAGCTCGTTTAAGTGGTATTTCTTACCTTATTACGTATACCCGACAGTCCAAAAGGCACATTTGCATTGTGAATAGGTAAATCATGAATTTTAAATCCGATTTGAAGTTCTTCATCAAAAAGAAAGCCTTGAAATAACGGTTTGAAGTGAACACATGCCAAACGTTTTGGTGATCGGCAACGACTCTATATACGATCGTACTACAAAGAAAATATGATAAACATGCGATCGTGCAACTTGAAATTTATAAAATACTTTTAATGAAATTTTAATGAAATGAAATAAAGTAATAGATAACCATGTGGTATGGGTGAAAGTCTGTCGAAATAGAACGAAATACCGAGAGAGAGAGAGAGAGAGAGAGAGAGAGAGAGAGAGAGAGAGAGAGAGAGAGAGAGAGAGAGAGAGAGAGAGAGAGAAAGAGCGAATTAAACTGACTTGTATATTAGTTGAATAATGTCCGTATTCTAAGAGAACAAAATTTAAAACTCCATGGAACCCTAAAACTTGATATTATTTGATTATTATTTAAAACAGATACCTATAGAGTATAGAGTGTTTTAGCAATATAGAAAAAAAAGGTTTTATTGTCTGATATGGCAGTTCAATTACATTTGGCATACATATCAAAAACTGTTCTTTTTTTGCAGAAAATAAAAAAGATATGTATTAATACTATGAAAATAACGATCAAAGGAATTTGCATACTTACATGTAGCAACTTTACCGAATATTTTCAGTAAATGTTTTCAGTAAAAATGTGTTGTACACGCACGTAATAAAATAACAGGTTTGTGTATAACATGATATATTTTAATTTACTGAAAACTGTTACCGGTATTATTACATGTATTAGTATTATTTTTCTAATTAATTGCCAATTTTAATATCATGCACGTACATGTACATTGTAGAATCGGGGATGGGGTGGGGTGAAAACTTTACTTTCATAGGCGTCGGAAGCAAATAAAAGGGGGGCTACTTTGAAATATTGGGAGGGGCTAAACCAATAGACTGGTTGTCCCCCTTTTGCAGTATATAGTCAAATTCGGGTAAGGCAGATGGTATTTTTTGGATAAAGTTTGGTTGTTCAAGAACTTGAATCATAACACCCCCTCCCTCGATCCCACACAACACATTTCCGAAACTGAATTTGGAGTTTAGAAAATGCTCCTCTACTTACACTTTGCATGATAAACCATCTAAGATATTTAGGGGGTTTTTTTTGGGGGGGGGGGGGTGACACCGTTATGAAAATTGAGGTAAAATTTTACTTTACATTTTTGTTAGCCATCAAACTCTTTTTCAATTGTATCTATTTAATCTACGTATAGTTAATTTCAATTTTCTATATTAATGTAGGACAATTTTAAAAGTTAAAAAGGTATATAACAATGACTGATTGCCTAATTTAAATGTAAATTATCTATTGTATATCAAAAGAAACTTTTTGACAACAACATTCTCTGATTTGTGCTATTCTTATTTCGTGTGTTGTACGATCGCTATTTCTATGGTGTACGATCACTTCATAAAAAAATAATGTCGTTGACGATCGCCTCGCGGTTGTCAAATTTTCCAGTTAAAATTTGTTTTAAGATAATGTATGTAGTTTTAATTTTAATATCATTTAGTTCATACTTCCAAGAACCATTACATAACAAAAGCAGCAAAAGTTTTTAGGTATTAACAACAATAAACTATTTTAAAGCATGAAAATTTGATATTTTGAACAATGTCAATTTGATCGGTAGCATTTGCACAGAAACTTTGAAGCAAATTTACTCTCGGTAAACCCTAAACTGTAGATAATTATCTAAACTAAATGATTCTAATTTTATTTTCAGCTGGTTACTCCAGCACATACAAAACTATTTAAATTTACCCCCTACAATACTTTCTTCTTCAATGTTTTGATCTGCGTTGCCGATCGCATCCGCGTTGACAGGGTTGGTTTCAGAAGTAATAAAAGTCAAACACAACTTATGTATTACTATACATACAAACACTCATTTAGTCTAGGGGGTTTACAATTATTAATTTACTATGAAAACAAAATATCACTGACAACAATAAAACATATGGTTAGAAGTTTTGTTTGATAATTTAGCGATAAAAATTTAAAAAATACCATACCTTTATGTCAAAAACAGCCTAAACACATTTACAACTGTATTTGTTTACGTTTTGCATCAAACCGAAAACAGATTACATAACTCTAAAACATTATTTTAATCCGTGCAACTCAACTTTTTCCGGAAACAAATGAATTTGTATGCATTCTTTAGAAATTCAAATCTAGATGCTTATCAAACTTTCCGTGATGATAAAGATAACAGCTGTGTACATAAAGCCTGTTCACTATTGGTAAAACTCAAAATAAAGACTTAACATTGAACTCTAACCACGTGAATAGACCATTCTGCATAAAATATTTTAACAAATACATGAAAATTCACCTGATTACAATTCTTTGACTGCTATGTGCCTAGAAGTAAATAAGATAATTTGAAAAGATTGCATCAATTTTAGCTTTTTTTGTCCTACCCCTCAGGCTCCATGGTAGGGGGGGGGGGCATGAAAACCACAAATTTATCCAAATTTTCAATATCCTAAAATTGATTGAAATTGATGGAGTGGTTTAAGTAAAAGAGCTAAAAATGTTTAAATGTTAATGCACAACGCACGATGCAAAACTGATTCATTTTTTTCGCCATTGAATAAACTTTGTACTCTAGAACAAGCAAGTATTTTTGGAAGGTTTGTACCAAAACGCAGGCCTCAGAAATAGGAGCTGGTACCACGAAATTTGTTTGTAAAATTTTTGCTCAACTTTTAATATCTATTATTAATTTGACTGAATCTTGTGAATCAGAACTCAGAACTACATATACAATGAAATGTATATATGAATATGAATACAAAAATAGTCTTTACACATCTATAAAAAAAATTACTTTAAATCAATTACACCAATTTCTACAATAAAATGATGATTAGTTTATGTACAAATAAATAAAAATAGAAAAAAAATCACATACATGAAAGACATTATTTTTTACATATCTAAATCTTTTACATAAAAGCAAAATTGTCCATTTCTATATTAATGTACAAATCTTTAGTAAGGGAAAACAATAAACAAAATGTCACAAATCTTAAGCATACCTTTTATCATCTCATCAAGCTTCTCCTGAAATATTTTGCCTAAATCTTTTTAGTGATCCAAGACTTAATTTTTTGCCTTTTTTAAATAAAGAGTTCTATCTTCACAATATTGGGATTTCAATCATGTGCACAATTAGAAGTAGATCATTCATATAGAAGTAGAAAATTTAATGTACATGTAAGTTTCTGGAAACCACATATACATGTAAATTGCTAAAATGAAGAGGTTTCATTGAAAATCGTTCTCTTTTTTTATTTGTATTTTTTTAAATATAGAAAATGATTAATTAAACCAAGAATAAAGATAAATGTTAACAATTAAGAAATGTGCATTTTTTGTAATCATTTCCTCCTTTTATGAATCTTATTCCATATTATCTTTAATTGTAATAAAAATCAACGAAAAACTTTGCATAAATAAATAATTTGTTAAAGAACTTTTTTGTATCCTTTTTAAATTTAAAACAAATGTATCATTCACAAAAACTCCATTATGGAAGAAAATAAATTGAAGGTATGTTTCTTTTAGAAATGAAGACATTTTTTTCTCTCTAAAAACTCTTTAAATTTGATACAAACATATCAACTTGTAAGAAAAATACCTAATATTCGAAAAAAAATGATAACATTTCTTATGATATCCTCTATTAGTTACGAATGCCTGTAATTTTATAACCAGAGGTAAAAATGACAACAGGGATCATAAAAAGAACTTAAGATATGTAGCAGAGGACAAAAGAAGCAGCTAATGATAAAAATATTTACAGGAGATAATTTTTCACTGCATCCACTTAAGTCAAGGTTAAAAGACTACCTTCATAGGACTTGATATATACACTCAATATTATTTGTTGTCCATATTCTAGCCAAAAAGCATCACTCAATTATCCATTAACTTAAAAGCAGTCCCACACAGAGGAAGAGAAAGATGACTGTAGAATACTATTCCAATAGCTTTTTAAAATAACTCGGTAGAACAGTGTATGGTTTGGCTATAATAAAACGATCCTCAATCTAAATAATTTTCGAAATGATATGCTTTTAATATTATTAACTTCAGCTACACCCTTCTTCATTTAAACATTCAAATCACACGTTCTTGCTTTTAGTCCCCATTTCTGCTGTTTTTATTTCTTGCACCCCAGACAGTTTTGTTTTTATCATTTTATGCCGACTTCCCATTTTTATCCTTTGAGTTTCTATTATAGTATCCTAAGGCAATTTTTTAAATATCATCAAGGTTAATCAAGTACGTCGTCTACAATGTGATATTTATAATAGTTCACCCTACATGCAAGAACCTTTCTAATTTGATTCCATCTAACTTTTAATTTTCAATGTTCTTTTAATTTTTTGTACATCTGAAACGAGAGAACGCAATATCTCCATATAAATAGTATCTTCTTCTTTCAATGTCAAATTATGAATTTTTTTAAGGCTGTCCAAGTACTTCTTTCCCGTGAAGGTTTCCAGTCTTTGGCAGATATCTGACATCATTGACCAGGTATCATCGAATTCTTTCTCAAGGGTGGAGGCTGAGCTAACATGAGCAGTCAAACCGTTTCGGATTGACCTAATTCTCTCGACATCATCACCCACGGTCACTTCTCCTGCTGCAGGCTCGTCTCACCATTTTCCTTTGGTTGGTAAAGGAATCTTTTTACAAATGTTTCTGATTAATGTGTATGTTAATGAGATATCAAAATTTTTATATCCCGAATGTTTAGCATCTTGCAAAATGAGCTCTTGCTCTGTGCGCAATCTTTTGTAAACAGGTGATGTTTTAACTTTTTTCTCAATGTCGGAAGGTGGCACCTCCATTTCCAGTATATCTCTGTATGCCTGATTTAACACATCATTTGTTGCCATTCCTAGTTTTGCAAATCTGGATCGATCCCCAAGGTCTTGCCCAGAGGCTATTGGAATTTTGGGAGCACTTGCCTTCATCTGAAACATGTTTCTTTTCATTTAATTTGAACTTGTTAGCCAGATGACAAAATTATAAAAACTGTAGAAAGTACTTATAAGAAATTTATTATTGTACAAAGAGTTTTTACCAAAAAGGTTTTAATCAGAGTGGTTTTATTTAAAGTATCTTAAAATACATGTGATATATTTAGGTATTTAATTTATTTCCTACATCATATTGAATAATTTGTGGCAATAATAACAGTTAATACTCATTACTTCGTGAGCTCTAAGATTTGTGCGTTTTGAATGACTGAAATCCTAAATACTTCGAAACCACTATGGTGTTGATCTCCTCTTACAATTATATCCATTTTATAAAAACCTTTGGTATTTTAAAAGAAACACATGACTTTTATAAAAGACAATAAACAATAATATAAACCTGTTTCCAGTATTTGATGATTTCTGTCGTGTCAATAATGTGCTTCCTCTCCACCGGACAGAAAGGGCACAAAAGAGTCGGTTCCGTTAGCCCTGACTCCTTAATCACATGACTTTTTTCATTGTCACAAAAACCGAATGGTTTGCATTTAAAGCCAATTTGGAATTTCAAATTTCTTTGAAATGTACTAGACAGAGTGTGCAATTCATCTTCAATCTTCTTCCTTATATTCAAACAAGTAGGTATATCAACTTCTCCCTCAATAACGTACACCTGCAACTGAATGTCTGATTGGGTCATTCCAAGCAGAGCGCATTGTTTCTCGAATAGAAACACGGCCGCTGTCTGGTAAATGCATGGTTGTTCTTTTCCGATTTTATTTTCTTTGACAATATGCCATGGAAAGCGCATGCAACTTGCTACAAGACGCTGAAAAATACCAGCAGGAAGAACATCAAACGTGTAGCAGAGGATGGAGGAGGCAGGGAATGATGAGAAGCTTTCTGAAGGGAATGGTCTCTTGTTCATACAGGGAACATACCATTTGTTGTCATTCGTTTTAACCAGGAGTCCTAGCTTCTCCATGTAGCGCATAATATCTTCTTTGTGTTCCAGATATCCACAGTTATTCATTTTCCAAATTGCAGAAAGCAGTGTGTCACTTAGGTCTCCCGTTTCATTAAATTTGTTCCATTCTGATGCAAGCTTAAATAAATCCTCTGCTGCGTGGTTTTTATCTGTGATCACATTTTTAAACGCATCTGCAAACCATTGAACATCAAGAATTATAATTCCTCTGAGAGATTCTTGGTCAAAGTATAAAATTTCTCTGATGTCATGGAAAAACTGCAGCATGGTGTTAATGTCTTCAACTGTTTTCAACTTCAATTCCTGTGGTAATGCTTTATTGAAAGCCAAAAGTGTCTCTTTGCTGATGATTTTAAGATTTAATTTCTTTTCTTTGAAGTAGTTTTCAAACATAGCCCAGGAGTGCGGAAGTTTTTCACCCCAGTGATCAAGTTGTTGGACTACATCAACAACTGACATCTTGATTTTTTCTATGCATTCATTCTCATGGAATCCAACAGCAAACATCCTTTTCCTGTCGATATGCTTTTGCAGAGACTCATCCGTTGTTTCCAAAGTAGTCCATATCTCACGGAAGAACTTTTCTTTTTCCTGATAAAAAGGAGAGAAAGTATAAATTATTTGATATTAATTATTTATTGTGACAGACGCTATCAAAGATATCAATGCTATGTACAATTTTAATAAATATGAAGTTTAAAAACACAATTGCCAGAACAGAACAAAGCATAATTCAATATTGAAGTATGTTGTAAAAACAATATTAGCGTTTGTAAACAATCAATTGAACAATGATGATTCAATATCAAAATGATATCATGAATTGCTACAGCAAGGAATAATTCGTTTAAAAAGTATTCTAATATTCGAACAAGTATAAAGGAATATTGAAGCAAATAATTATATTGCGCGCCAAACATTAAAAAAAATCCGAATATATGTACAGTAAAACTTGTTTACAACTATGGATATTGCGATTTATGAATGAAGCGAATTTAACTTGGATCCCCAACAATACAACTTTCACGAATTCCAAATATGGATATAACGACTTACGGATATAGAGAAGTAGTTTCATAGGTCCAAGTGACAACACTAGAACCGAGTTTTAGTGTACAATAACATGAAAGAAATGAAGAAAACACTATTTGATAAGGGTTGATAACTTCGTCTTTTATGAATGAAATAACAAAAGATTTAAGATTGTAAAGGTAAGGTTTAAAGTTTGACTTTCAATGTTACAAGCCTTCTTTAAAAAGTACTGTGGAATATGATAACTATCGAGACAGTTTTTTTTAGTATAGAAAGCTTTACAAATTGTACATAGAAAGCATAAAACCAATTATTAACAAATCTATACAAACAGGACCGTTTCTTATATTATTTATTATTCAAAAAAAATGTCTGTTTTACAATTTTAAAATTCCAAAAGGGTTTCATCCATATTTATTCAGTACTAGTCGGTAATGGAAAGAAAAGGAGATTCTTTAAAAATCACCGAAACACCTGCTGTCTGACATGTACAAAAATGTACACTACCTGGCCTGTTAGGTGATGAGAATCGCTAACATGAATTCATATATAAATTTTTTTTTCAGTTGTTCAGTTCAGTTTTGGAAAGTTGTAATATGAAAATGGGCTCCTGGAAAGGGAAGGGATGTATTTAACCCACTAAAATCTACACTTCCTAAGAATGCTTTTGAATATGATCCTTGATGGTTTTGTTATTAATTCTTTATGATTTTTTAAAATTAATAGTCTTTCTATCCCTTTGTTATGATCTAATTAATAATACTCAATACACCTGATTGGTCATAATTTGAACAAATATTCATGTCCTGACAAAAAACTATAGCTAACTATAGTCACTATGGTTAATTATTGTAAACCAAAGTGTCCAAGTTTTCGCAAAAGTTTTACAAAGTGTCCAAGTTATCTCCAAAGTTTTTCAATGTGTCAAAATTTTCGAAAATGTTTTTCAAAGTGTCAAAGTTTTTCAAAGTGTTAAAGTTTTAAATAAAGTTTTCGCCAAAATTGTTCAAAGATTCAAAGTGTAAACATTTTCAATAAACTTATTCAAAGTGACAATTTTTCGATAAAGTTTATCAAAGTTTCAATGATTTTGATGAAAGTTTTTCAAAGTGTCGAAGTTTTTGATAAACTTTTTTAAAGTGTCAAAGTTTTCTCTAAAGTTTTTCAAGGTGTCAAAGTGATCATTATAGTTAACTAAAGAAAACTATAGATACCTATACATGTTATTTTAGTTATGGTGGCTCTGTTGTTCTTGTGAGAATTTTAACGATTTCTTACGTAAAAACTTGTTCACCCATTTTGGCCAACTCTACCCCGGAACTCATGATTTGAACAGAGTTGAATCCACACTAGCTTTTTTATGCTTCCATATAACTATGACTAATCATGGCTCTGATTATAGCTCTGCTATTCTTGAGAGAATTTTTGAAGATTTTTCAAACGTATTCCTATGTATTCCTTTGTTATACTTTGACCCCCCATGTTACATTGTAACCCAGCCTACATTTGGGGGACATGATTTGAACAGATTTGAATCGACACTACAAGAGAATACTTTTACATGAGTTGAAAAGAAGGTTTTTAAAACATTTCCATATGTATTCCTTATTGTTAAACTTTCATTCCCATTGACAGCCCCAGCTTATCCCCCGGATCATAATTTTAACAAACTTAAATCTACACTACAAAACAAAGCTTCAATATAAGTATGACTAATCTTGACTTTGTTATTCTTGAGAAGCTTTCCCTTACAAAAGTAAAATTATTGCAGCAATATTGCTGCTATATTGCAGCAACATTGCGGCAACACATTTTTGTCACCAGAAGCAAGCTTTTTGGGTTAGTGAAATATCACTGCTAGCAGCAACAACTTCTGGTGACATTCTGGCAATGCTGCCAGAAAAAATGAAATATCACCACTAGCTGCAACAACTTCCGGTGACATTTTGGCAATACTGGCAGAAAAAAACTTTCTGGCAACATCTTAATAGGATTACCCATGACCCATTTGTTGAGCATGCTCAGTCATTTACTTCCTCTTTTTAAATAAAGTGGAGGGAATTCAAAGGCAAGCATGTTTTGCTTCATTAGTGACTTGTATCAAGTTGATTAGAGTTGTTAATTGTGTACAGTGGGATTAGTCAAGATGAGTAGTAAGACTGCATAGTGTGGAATGACTAGAAAAAAGAATTTAATAAAAGAATTTAAGCAGAATTACAGGAATGTGTACTCTGTTTCCATATCATCAGACTTGGTGAGTCAAAACCAATATTCTTTTTGAGATGAATGATTCAATGGAGATAAAATTGGAAAAATTAGATGTGTTTCAATTTAAGTGCTTGTGATGCATGCATACTAGACTTGTATGTCTATATATCCTAGAGTAGCAGGATAAACTTTAACCTTCACCATTACTTTTGAACCAACGAGAGATAAAGATTTCATATTTGGTATGTCTACTCCACTAATTAAGTTCTTTCAAATGACATCAAGGTCAATGACCTTGTGACCTTGACTGTGACCTATATGCTAAAAATAGCTTTTTCGAATATTCACCATAACTCAAAATCAATGAAAGATAAAGACTTTATATTTAGTATGCATAATTCACTAATCAAGCTTTTTCAAAAGACACCTGAAGGTCAATGACGTTGAGACCTTGGCTGTGACCCATATCCTTAAAATATATTTTTTGAATCTTGGACATAAATCTTGAGCCATAAAAGATAGAAAACTTGTATAACGTATGCACCCTTCATAAATTAAGCTCTTTCAAATAACACCAAGGTCAATGACCTTTGGACATTGACTGTGACCATATACTTTAAATAGATTATTTGAAATTTATATAACTTTTGAGTCATAAAAGATGGAGAATTCATATTTGGTATGCACCCTTCACTAATTAAACTCTTTCAAGTAACACCAAGGTCAATTACAATTTGACCTTTACTGTGACTCATATGCTAAAAATAGCCATTTTGATCCTCTGCCATAAATTTTGAACTATAAGAGATAGAGACTTCATATTTAGTATGTATAATCCACTAATTAAGTTCTTTCAAATGAAATCAAGCTCAATGACCTTGTGACCTTGACTGTGACCCATATGCTATAAATAGCCTTTTCAAACTTTATTGCCACCAGGCGCACAGTGTTTCACAAACATATCTTGATTTTCATTATGATGATCAACATAATTTTCTATCTGTTCATAGAATAGCAGAAGTAGCTATTTCTTATTGACCCTGGGGCTTGCTATTGTTTGTTATATTCCTAAGCACAGTTTGTTAATTGTTAGATTGATAGATCATTATTTCTATTAAATACCAATTTATATCTAACTTACATACGAAAAACAATATTGCCGCAATCTTGCGGCAATAATGCCGGCAGATGTTGCCAGAAGATCAATATTTTGGTCATGATTTGCAGCAATATTGCCGCAACCCCTTTCTGGCAATATTGCCGCAAAAACTAATTAACATACGAAAAACGATATAGCCGCAATATTGCGGCAATAATGCCGGAAGATGTTGCCAGAAGATCAATATTTTGGTCATGATTTGCAGCAATATTGCGGCAACCCCTTTCTGGCAATATTGCCGCAAAACTAATTTACATACGAAAAACGATATAGTCACAATATTAGGCAATGTATTGCCAGAATGTTGCTGCAATATTGCGGCAATAAAGCCAGAAGATGTTGCCAGAAGGTCAATATTTTGGTAAGGGTTTAAAAGATTTTTTATGTATTCATAGGAAGGTTGTCCCGTAAAATCATGGACAAGTTTTCTACTTTGAAAAATAATCAACATTGCTTTCATAAGTTTTCACTACTCTTCAGTACATAAATTATGAATATACAGAGCAAATTTCAAATAGATATATGCATAAATAAACAGATTATTAGATTTCATGTTATGTATTTAATCGACCTGTCGCGCACAGACGATAAGCGTCACGTTTCATCTGTGCTAAATATAAAGTTCGATAAGTCCCACTTACATATTGAAAATCACATTGATTCACAAATGTGCGTGTCTTTAACCAGTTAAGGTACCAATCTGGTACATATATGTGATCTTCTAAAGATTTATTATGAAGTTACGGACAGTATTTTCAACTAACAGACAATCTCATATTAGAGAAACACCGACATCTTACGAACGAACGTAACCAAAAACGGGGATCATTCATTGTAGTCTATTATAATCACGGTTGGATTACTGAATTCTTCAATTTTATTGGGATTTCGATAGAAAAAATCCCCTCAAGATACCTCAAATCCACGTATTGTTTTAGTCGCTACCGTGCGACTACAATACATATCAATGGACATTCAAACGAGCAAAAGGGTACGAGAAGGGAAATGAAAGGAAATTAAAAAAAAATGTCATTCTGTGGCATGAAATAAAAAATAATAGTATGTTCGGATCTAGTAGGGGTCAAAGGAGGTGGGGGTATTTTACATAGGGCGGTCGAGACAATAAGGAGTTATGGTCTAAAATTGAATTGCAAAAACCCAAACACTTTAAAGAAATTCTTGTTCGAAATAC